TTATTTGGAAAGATATTTGGTCTAGTAAAAGGAACGTCAAGATAAATTTCATCACATTTCCCCAGTCCTGGTTTACCTGCATTGTCCCCCTGTTCCGTTCTGAGTCAGGTCGAATGTTTTGGTTCTTACCTATAAAGCCCTTAACAGTTTGGGACCTCATTACTTCTCAAAGCACCTTTCCCTAAGAACATAACGCCGTGCCACCCAATCCTTGCAGACCATTTCTTGCAGGTTACTACACAGAGAAAGGCCAAGAAGACATCTACAATAAACCAAACCTTCTCATTTGTGCCACCATCCATATGGAATGGGCTCCTGGAAGAGCTGCACTAGGCCCTCTCTCTCCCAGCATTCAAGAGGATGCTCAAGACAAGGCTGCTTATAGAAGTTTTTAAGGGCATCCTCCCATGAGCCATAATGAATTAACGCCTGTCCTGCCATCATTTAAGTTTAACTTTTAGGCCTTATGATAGATTTATTAGATTATATTTTGAGTATTTTGTCTATAATTGATTGTCTGTTTTTATTTTATTTTATTATATTGCTTGTATTTTCTTTGATTGTAAACCTCCCAGAGTAATGCCTCACACAAATGGAGTAGTATACTATATACTATATACTATATAAACAATATATATTTTGGTAAAGACTGGTAAAGCCTCTCATTTCTTTCATCAGAATGGTCTGGCAACTATTTATGACTCACCACCATTCCAACTGATAAAGATTTATCAACTCTAGGGATTGTTTTGTCCCCATAGGTGAGGATGAAGACTGGCATATTCTTGTTTCTATCTGAAAGAATGACAAGGAATTTTCCTAACAGTGTTTTTGCAATGACAAAAACAGTGCTTTGTGCAAAACGGCTCATTATTGCAGAATACGGTCACAACTTTGTACAACACTACACAACCATTGAATCCCTTCAATTGTCCCCATCTAGGATGTTCTCTGCTTTAAAAATTTGAAGCACTGGATGGGTTGCTCAAATATTTTTTTTACGAAATCTCCAGACAATCCTTCTGTACTTGTAGAGTAGGTCTGTGGGTGCATGTATGTGCACACACACAGGTGGACATGCTTTTCTTTTTCTAGGACACTTGACACTTTTAGGGCAAACTATAGAGATGTGAGTGGGGGAACAGGTCCTTGTCCCACCCTCAGGTGAGGAATTTTCAGGGTATGAAAATTCCTCATCAAGGTGTCTCATTGCAGTGAGACAGCATAAATAGATGTGAAACAATAATTTAGTAAATATTTGTTCCATTCCTAATCAATAGGCAAATGGATACAGAAACCATTGCAAGCCCTAGGGAGAGGAAGTATTATTTGCAAGGTGAGAGGCAGATTTGTCATATTGTAATGTATGTGTGTGAACATGTGTGCATGAAGATACACACAAGGGAAAAGTTCTCTTCCGGTTGGGAGATCTGATGCAATGTAATAGATTCTGGGGCAGTAAGATTTGCAGAACCTTTAGCCTAGGTGAACTGGGAAAGTACTCTACTGATGCTCAGGAACATACTTCTTCAGGAAATTTTCAAAATAAAGCCTCAGCTGATGTGGACTACACCAAAGGAGGGAGGTTTTATTCAAAACCCTTTCTGTTACCCCAGGACTCAGAAGGTACAACTAGACATTCTCGCAGACCTACCATAACAAATAGCTTCCCAAAAAGAACAACAACAACGACGACAAAAACAGCTGGTAATCTTTGCAGGAGGGGAAAAAAACACACAATACTTGGCAAACTGCTGGAAGCCACTTGTCAAACTTTAAAATGCAATAAATAAGCCATTTCTTCACTTTTTTACCTCAACATTGGTATATAGACCAACCTCACACTGACCTCTCCTACCCTGCCAAGTTTCAAGTCAATAAATTTAACCTGAATATAAGCCGCAGAACCTACTGCACCCAATTTTTGTTTATAATGGTGAAATGTGAATCATCTAATCCAGGTTTAACATCAGGCCACAACTTTGGCACTATAATATATCCAGTATGCCAAAGAACCTAGACTCTTCAGTTCATGTCGTCAAGCCACCAAAACAGGTGGTTTATCTATTACCAAGCCATGGGTACTTACCAAATCCTTGTTTGTCTTTCTCTTTTTCCAATAACAATTGTAAAGGAAGAAAGTCTGTAGAGCATGGGGAAGGAATAGTAATCCACCACCCACTTCATTACCACCCATGAAGAATGAGTTGCAAGAATGTTTTAGAAGCTATAGTTCAGAATCAATTTTTTTCCTCCGGTTACAGAGGCATGAGGTTGTTGGCTCTTGAAATACTGAGAACTGGGGCATGTCAGATTATTGACTGGTCAAATTTGTGTTTTTTAAAAACGTTCCCTAAGTCACTTCTTGAGACAGTTCTTTCGAGACTTTGAGCATCAACAAAAATAGGAAAAGTGATTATCAGAAAAAATGGGTTTCACTACGACTCTCAGAATACACTTGCCAATCTTTCTCCAGGATCTGCCCACAATGTGTGCAGAATTGTGAATACTGTATTAACTTACTGGAAAGGAGAAGGTAGGTGAGTGCTCATGATGAAAATGTATGCCGGAAACTTTCTTATCACATTTCTCAGTTTCCAAACCACATTCTCATTCTGTCCTGTTTATATACCAACCAGATCATGAGACAATCCCCTAGTCCCTCCCTGCTGGATGGCAATATGTGCATATTCCCATGGATTTCCTCTAACGTACACCATCTAGTTCCCCTAGTCCCTCCCTGCTGGATGGAAATATGTGCATATTCCCATGTATACTTTTGCATGGATTTCCTCTAACGTACACCATCTAGCAAGCATCACTGCACTGAGTAAGGCATGCCTGTGTACTTTTCATTGGTTGCATTTTTGAAACAGATGTTCAAGTCTATAGGAATCCCCTCCCCCCCCAGGAAACACAAGACAAGGCTCGCAATGTAGGGGCTTCTCAGGCAAGGGGTATTTCACAGTCACTCTCATGCAGAAAACCCAAAGATTTTCTTCCTGTTGTCTGTGAGTTTGTTTGAAATGGATATTTACTGGATAACAACACATATTTTTGCTTATATCTATTTCTCTTACACCCGACTGCCTAACTTTTAAAGCAAGCCAAGAATTCTATAAAGTCCCATTCTAATAAGTGCATTAAAAGAGACTGTTGTCTTGGACAAGTTTTTAAAAAGAAAACATGACTACCTAACTGTATTCCAGATTCTCCTCAAAATTTTGAAAAATTATGAGCACTACAACTCCCTAATGGATTCTGGGAATATTGTTCTGACAAGTAACTTCTCCAAACTATGGAGTTAAATGCACACTACCAGCCATTAGCCTGCTTGCATTTTAAAGACTGTAATGGAAACAGAGGGTGCCTATGATAAGCTCATCATCTGGAAGATTCTAACATTATGTGCTTAAAAATCTCTGACTTCTCTGTCTCAGGAATGTGGTTTGGGTGCATCGAAAATGCAAGAAACCTAGCAATCAGATCCAAGCTCAGTCTCAAAAAGTGGTAATCACCAACTTTTTTTAGTAGGAAGACTGGTTTGCTTCTGTTTCTTTTTAAAATAACTTTATTGAACAGAAGAGAAATACATATACAAAACTACAGTGTTACAAAACACTACCAAATGTCCACTTATAAGATTCCACAACCTCTCTACATCACTCTGTGCGACAACCCCCACCACCCACTCAGGACTCGTTCCATGTTCTTCATTCTTATATTTCAATTTGCCCCATTTCTCTCCAGTAATACACTGATTCTTCTCCTGGTATATACCCCCTCCCTTTCTGAAACACATGTAAGTTAACTTATCATTAATTGCCATACTCCACAAACTGAGCTCTATACTGTATTTGTTTAAAATCATTAGATTTCATCGTTGCTATTCTTAACTTATCATTAATTGCCATACTCCACATTTATCTATACAACTCTTCCATAGTAATTTGATTATTACTTTTCCAGTTTTTTTGCAAATATTAACCTTGTCACAGTTACTGTTATAATAATTAATTCCTTTTCTTCTCCCTTCAATTGATTATTATTAACCAGAATCAACCAAGCAATTATTGGGGACATTCGCAGATCCACACCAACTATTTCTCTTATCTCCTTGAAAATCACTGCCCATTCCTTCTTCCTTATTTCACAAGGCCACCACATATGTATATACATTCTCTTTTCTTTTTTACATTGCCAAAATAGCAAAGGTGTATTTTTATTTATTATATTCAACTTCAGTGTTGCATATCTTGTAACAGTTTTCCTTTACATACATGTTTTTCATTATTCTTTTATTTCACATTTTACTCTAATCTTCCATTTTTAATTTCCTCCTTCAGACCTTCTTGCCATAAATCTTTTAATCAACCATAAAAATTCTGTCTGTATTAACATTTTATATATTGCATTTATTGTTCCCTTTCTATTTTCCCTTGTTTCTATTTTCTCTCTTTTTTCTATAATCTCTTCAAATTTCTTCCATTTCTTATGTAAATCCTACTTTCTATATGGAACAGTTATAAATCCTACTTTCTACATGGAACAGCTATTGGGAATAGGACAAACTGAAGTAAATTGAAACCAAGCAGCAAAGTATGAGAGGAAATCATCATCCTTTTCTGTTGAAAACACCCCTTCTAAAAATGAAGTTCAACAACAATGTGCAACCTGCATGCTGTTTACTCAGAATTAAACTTATGTTTAGTCAAGTTGGCATAGGACTGCAGAGCAAACCTATATGTCTTTATTGTTGCCCAGAGCTTCTTTTCTACTAAGGTTTAAAGTCTTAAAAGTGTTCCTTTATTTCATGAAAGCTGCCTGTAAAGTTTTCAATACATTTTTTCAGCATGAATTGGACATCGCGTGCTTGACAACCTGTTAAAATGTGACATTGCAAAATGTTTTAGAAGATGGAAAGAATTTACCCACTTGCTGAAACACTGTGCAATTGTAGCAAGTCATCTTTTCTCCCCAATTAATTGTAAAAGGCCTACCTTAAAAAAAGTCATTGTTGCACCATCTTCCACTGCTCCATACTCTATCTTTGTTTGCTTCGCTAAGTCATCTGCAGAATCAATCGGGGATTCCATGCGCTCCACTGTCAGAAAGGCGGCTAGATTAGCAGTATACGAGGAAATGATGATAAGTGTGAAAAACCACCAAATGCCTCCCACTATCCTGGTGGAGAGGGCTTTGGGCATGAGCTCGGAACCTAATGAAAATTAGGGGGAAAAGATGAATCCAGTGCATAAGCAGTACATCTCATTGTTAGAATGCAGTTCTTTTTGTCATGGAGTGAGAATGGATTCACTCAGCAAAATAAGAAGAGAAATATACAGTATACAACAGCAAGCTTTTATACTTTTTATACAGACACAAGACTGAAATGAAAAATAAAAACAAAATTATACACAAAGGATTCTGTTTGTAAAAGGAAAATTACAAGTTTTGGGGATCCAAAATATAGCAATGGGAGACCCAAATCAATGTTTGGCTATGATTCTAGTGTATAACCTGATATTTTAAAATGATTTTAAAGAAATTAGCAGGCAGAGAGAGAGGGAGAGAGGGAGACAGAGAGAGAGAGAAATGAAGCATCTGAGTTACTAAAAAGAAGTTTCATATAAACATAAGAAGTAATCCTGACCCTCCCAGATAAAGATTTCAGCAGCTTTTCAACACATTTATGAATGGCTAATTCATAAAATGCATTGATTTCTATAATGTTTAAGCTGTTGTCCCCAAAAAATGTATCAGGAATACTGTAACAGAAAAAGGGATACAACTAACCTGAAAATGTTGTATATGTAATAATAATAATAGTAATAGTAATAGTAATAGTAATAGTAATAGTAATAGTAATAATAATAATAATAATAATAGTAGTAGTAGTAGTAGTAGTAGTAGTAGTAGTGATGATGATGATGATAATGAATCTAGCACAATAAAGCTACATATAGCAAGCCAACAATAAAGTGAAAAGTCTCCCATCTCTATATTTAAAGACATAGTTTAAATCAAATAGGGCTGGCCACGCTGCAAATCTCCTTTACTCAGCAGCAATGAAAACATTAATCTTATGCGTAAATTAGACTAAGACATACTATATGAGTATTGCTGGAGTTGCCTGTTCATGGCCCTAAAGAAAGAGGGGGCTTTAGATATTAATTGGTAATATACATAATTATTAATACTAATTTAGAATGCAATTATACTAATGGTAACATATTGTCTCCTTTTGTGCTTCATTTTTAAAAGCAGTGATGGTTCTCATAATTTGAAAAAAATACAAATGTAAGTGGACATGCATGAGATTTTCAGTAATGGAAAACTGAATAATTTAATTAATAGTGGTAAGGCAAATATATATACTTTTCCATAATGAGCAAGATAACATTGCAGGGCATGTACTGTATGCAACAAGGCATTTTACAAGACATATATCTTCCATTTCTTTATAATAAAATATTACAAATTCTAATCAATCAGCAAGGGATTTCCCCCCTTTTTAATTTTATTGGGGTAAAATGGAATGAAGGCAAGATGGACTATTTTATTCCTGATTAATTATGCTGTTCATATTGCATCAGTTAAGGAACTGGTCCAGCAAGGTAGCACATCTTCCAGTGAGCAGAGCTTATGCCAAACTCAACATCAATTGCAGAACACAAAAAAAAATTTCAAAGAAAAGGGGCAAAACGAAAAGAAAGAAAAAAGAAAAGAAGGAAAAAGAAGAGACAAAAGAAGTGGTATCATAACTGGACTATCCAATCCAAAACAGCCCATCTTACCCTGCAGTTCATCTTACCCTGGCTGTTTCAAACAAAAAAAGCTGACAGACTTGGACATGACAGCCAACTCCAGCGCCAGACTTTACCTAGAATTCTGTAAGGAAAAAAGTAGAAAAGTACCTTTCTGATGTAGCCGCTTCTAGGCCCTGCCAGTCAGACACTTAAGACACTATAACAATGTTGCCAAATAAGCCCAACAGGTTTTTAAAAATTATTGTTGTTTTCTTAAAACTCAGGACACTTAGGAAAGTCAAACAAGACTTGGAAGAAAAGAACAGTAGAAATCTTGGCCAAAGCTGCCCCAATTACCACAAGTTCATATCTTACCCAAGTATTTAAAGAGAGTGCCACCAAAGCCTGTAAAACAGAGCCTGGTTAGGGGCTGACTGTCATGTAACCAAGGTAACGTCATGTCCAGCACTATGTCCCACAATTTCCTGGAAGCAAAGGGTTGCGGGCAAGGAATGTATGAGTTTCCTCTATCATGTAGCCTCCAGCACTCATGGAAAAGTGTTAGGGATGGTATTGGTGAAATAATTAGTGTGGAGCCAGAGTCATTATAGCTTTGTGTGGGGTGTTTTTATTTCGGGTAATTTTGTGAGATGCTGCAACAACTCAGATAGGGAATTCAATGCATATCTCCTGTGTTCAAGCTAGAAGACTGTACATTGCAAGGAACCCTCACATTTAGGCTTGGGGTGTAGACATATCAATAAAAGCAAATGCCTGTAAAGATGAAGATATACCAAATGCCAGGAGTGATTTGTATCAGATATGTTTTAGAATTTATGATATACTGGGCAGGATTCAATGCAGGCCATACATACTTCTATGTGGCCAGGACAAAGGCTTCTGTTTTTTCAGCAATTATTCCAAACTTGAATGCTACCCTGGATACAAGTTTTATAACTGCACAGACTTTGAAAATGGGTTTGTGTTATGTCATGAATGTCATGGCATGAATGAAGCCCTCAAGTACATTAATTTGAACAGGGGTGGAAAAATGAGAGGGGTATGGGTCAATTTACTGCTCCAAGGATCCACCCAAGGAAAGAAGGAGCAAATCAGCCCCTAAAATGAACAAAATAGGATGAAAAAGTGAAGCCATATGCTGCAGGAAGTCTGGCTTAGGTTTCATTATTTTTTATGCATTCAGAGTTTTGGTGGGGATAGAGGTGCCCTGCACTTCCTTTTTATGCCAGAACCACATCTCTTGAGTGCTTCCAAGAGTGGAAATTATATTTTCATGTTTTTCTGGCAGAAAGGCAACTAGAAGCAGCCTTAGAAGACCTCATGTAGCCCCTGGTGCCTTTACCCTGAGTTAAAAAGAACAAGAGTTCTATTTTCACATGGGCTTTGGTAAGCTTTTAACAATGTAAATGGTTTCTTCTTCATAGTCATTCACTCTATTATTTCCTGGGTATAACAGACCAATATGACTTTTTATTTCTATAATAACAATGGAAGATCAATGTTACCCTTCCAGCTTTCCATGATCTCTATGGTGATAGTCAGAAACATGATTTCCTGGTAGTCCTTACATTAATTATAGTATATTTATTTTCTTTATTGGCATGGGATTGTTACTATGTAATATTATTTGTCTGACCACCTAGGTAATAATCTGAATTTTGATTCTGATGGGTGTCTTTTCACCTAATATTGAATTTTATTTATTTTATTTATTTATTGAATTTGTACCCCACCCATTTAGTCCACTGACTACTCTGGGCGGCTAACGACATATAAAAATAAACCATTTAAAATGGCATTCATCTCACAAATGAACCACACGTCTGTCTTTTCACCTAATGTTGAATTTTATTTATTCTATTTATTTTTATTTATTTATTGAATTTGTACCCCACCCATTTAGTCCACTGACTACTCTGGGCGGCTAACAACATATAAAAATAAACCATTTAAAATGTCATTCATCTCACAAATGAACCACACGTCTAGCTCTTTTTCATTCATATGAAAGATACCTGCCCATCTCTGATTGGCTCATGCCCTTTTTTTCTTATAGTTACTCTTGAGTCTCCATGTGCTGATGACTTTGAGAAGAAGAACAATCCATACCCTGTTTCCCTGAAAATAAGACCTAACCGGAAAATAAGCCCTAGTATAATTTTTCAGGATGCTCATAAGCCCTACCCCCAAAATAAGCCCCAGTTAAGTGAAACCCCGCCTTTTACCATTGTTCAGCAACCAGAAGAAGATGACATGACTGTATTTGATTAAATGCAGATTGTTGTATATGAAAAAAAAATAAAACATCCCTGAAAATAAGCCCTAATGCTTTTTTTGGAGCAAAAATTAATATAAGACTCTGTCTTATTTTCAGGGAAAGATGGTAGTGGCTTTTAAAACCTATAATGATTTATTGAAGGACTCTAGTTTCTTATTTTTAGGAGGTTATGTCAGGATACACCAGTCTTCTGTTTTCCCTATAATATTCTCTCAGGAATGCTGATTGCGTTTCCAAAAGGAAGTGTTGTTATTTTTCACTTTTTAAACTAAGATATCTTATGGTGGTCCCACACGACACAATATCTGCAAGACACCTGCATAGCTCCTACACTGTTGTTTACAGAAAACAAGTGCTGCATATTTGTACCCCCCTGAAGCTGCCAATTTATCTTAAAATCTGTAGTGACATATATGCGCAAAGGAGGGGACACACATCTTGGGTATTCCATGGAAATACGGGTGATATTTAGTAAAGAAAGGTGGCAGCAGTGGCAACAAGAAAATTATGACTTTTAAGAGAATAAGGCTGCAATTGTGTGCATGTCTTCTTGGGAATAAATTCTGTCAAATTCATTGGGCTTTACTATTGAGTAGATCTGCATACGATTACAGGTTTCGTAGCCCACAACAGTATCTTACACTGGAAGAAACTACTAGCCATATACTAGTTCATGTCCTCATGAGCCAGTATATGAGATTACTATGTACATTGATCAGCTTGTAAATCAGACAAGATGAGAAAAAATAGTATGCCATATAAAGAAAGAATGTGCTGCATAATCTACAGGAGACTCACTCTTTTACTATGGATTGTTCTTTAATTAGCATGCCTACAACTTTAACAACCATCCCTTTTATATTAGTAATTAACAACTTTCTTTGCATGCATGCATGCATGCCATGTTTGCCCTGTTGGGTGCAGATGCTCATTATTCTATTTTATTTTAATCTCAAACACAGCTTGGTTGCAACAATGATTGCAAATGTCTGGGATGGCATTTATTAATCATGCAATAAATGACATTTTGTTTTGTTTCAAGACTACATACCAAAGATGGAGGCCTACAGTAAAAATTGACAATAACAGGCTTTCACCTGACAGATGCTACTGTTTGGAAAATGAAAACTAATGTATTGATTAACTAAGGTGACATGTGCCTAAATTTAGGGTTAGGGCAGAGCTGCTAGAGAACCATAATATTTCATTTTGTGTTTATTTCTTTGATACTCTTTTGAGAAATGGAGATTCAAGAAGGCCAGATGTATTAATGTGAGAAAGCTGGCTTATGGTTACATGCACAGAGGCACCCATGCAAGCAGTTTGTGCCAGAGAGAGAGAGAGAACAGTTACCCCCAGCAAAAAGTGGGACATGGCGCCCAAGAGAAAGAGCAGGCTGAATCGTATACCTTGCTGCATGAGAGCTCCAACGCCAAACCAGAAACTATTTAGCAAGGTAAAATTGTTTTCCACCACGTCTGAGTCGGGGTTGCAAGGGTGTGGATTATACCACTCATAGGGACTAAACCTGTGGTAATTGACAGGAAAAAAAAGAACATATTTAACAAACAGTGAGCAGAAAGTCTATCCAGCAAACTTGCTGCAAAAGAAAAAGAAAAACAGGAAAAGTTAAATAGAAAACAGAGAAAGAAAATCTTCACAATGCAAGTGCATCATATAAATGACAGGGAGCACTACAAGGAAAAAAAACCTGTGATAACAATCTTAGCATCCATTAATGAGTTCACTTCATAACTTAGTGAAAAACGATATAATGCCAGGAGGCATTGTCAAAAATTCACAGTAAGGGACACAGCATCCCTCAGACCCTCAGTAATTTCACATGATATGGCTCTTTGGCATATTGACACACATAAAGTAAAGGGGGCTATTAAGAGATATCAATTAATACAAAAGTAATTACAGTTTAAAATTAATTAGCACTTTGCTCAAAGGCTTTCAGATAGTGATTATGGAAGGAAGACTATAAAAAGATAAGCATGTTAATACTGCTGCATGGGTCTCAAAAATAGCATCCACAATTCAAATATAATTTTATATTTAACTTTAAAGAGTGCAAGAGTTTAACTTCTACATTTGAGAAACTTTGCCTAAATCATCAGGAACACTCAACTCTTCACCACATTACACTGAGGACTCCCATAGGCCTGTCTTCAAAATCATTGCAAACTGAGTCCTGCATGAGATTTTGGCTTCAAAAACTCTTAGCTGGTTAATGAGTAATTATAAATTTGTACGCATTTTCATCTCATAGCGATAGATTTCTCTGCTCGGAGAAGCAATATCTTTAGAGTTACAAACAAACAATTATCACTTACATATTTGGTTTGGAAAAGACCATCTGAAAGCTACAAACATGGATTCTTAAAACATATTGACAGCATAATGTGTGATATTTACATCACTGACAGCTTTTCACCCAAAAACCCTGTTTGTCAGTTTATAGCCAAAACATGCAAACATGTGTACTCATTTTTCTTTATTCCTTTTCTTTATATAGAAACAAACATAGAAGCAATAAATAAATAAATAAATTGGGATTTCCAAATGACTTTGGAACAAGGTGTCATGTACATTCCCTTTCTCTTCTTTTTCAGTTTATGTTGGTAATTTAAAATATAGCCACATTATTACTAGTGGTTCTTTATTAAGAGAACACAAGATCAGAGTTAGATGTCAGAAAACTAACTTTAAAAAACCCTGAGTCTTTTATTTCAAAAAACTCACAATGCACTATTGCTACCACAGTAATTAAAAATGCATAGGAATTCAAGTGGTAAACTCATGGCAAGTATCTTTTTTATTTCCCAAATCTTTAAAGCCACTCTGTTACAAACTGAAATTGGAATACGCACCCATTATAAATGTATTAAGAAAAAAAATCTGTCATGTAATTAAAGCTATCTGAATAACATTTCTGTCACTTCAGAGAATGCAATTTTCTTTCCAATAATCTTTTTAACACATTAAAATTCAGAAGATCAAACAATCCATTTTTATCCTCTTAATACAATGAGAGAACACCTCCTGTCTTAAAAGCCTGTGCTTGAGAAACAAAGAAATGTTTCATTCGGTTCTCAAAAGTAAAATTGACATGCTGCTGAGAAAAGGTTGATTGGGTTATAATTAAATATTCTGACCTTATTTCTCATACAGCCTTACAAGAAACCTGGACTTGTTTTACTTCTTCTGTTGTGTGTTAGGAGAACAAGAACCTTCTCAATTTAGTTTGCATTTGATTCACTATATTACTGACACGTTTGAATTTTCAGCGTATTCATAGTTTCGTCATGTGAGTTTCAAAAAAAAAAAAAAAAAAAAGCAAAAATGGATATATTTCAGAGGATCCAGGCTCCGACTTCAGTTATTTTGTTGAATGGATTAGGCTTGTCTGCTACGGTAGTACCTAATAAAGTTTCCACCGGTGCGGTAATGTTCAATAAAGCCAATAGGAAAATGCTGCTATGGTGCAACCAATGGGTCTCTGTGAACAAAATTTGCTCTCCTCTGTGCAATTTGCACAAGAGATGTGATCCTGTGCTGCAAAACCAATAGGATCATCCACTCATGTAAATTTCCTAGGACACTATACTTGCCTTTATCTGTGTAGTTTTCATTTGCTTATTTGTGTGTTTTTTGCTACCTCAGTTAGACTACAGTGATGTGTTATGGAGTGGGTAAATCAAAAATATATTTATTTTCCCTGCTTCAAAATTTGGGCAACTGGCATTATTTTAGCTGTAATAAAATTTCTTGTGCTGTTTTTAAAAGCCTTAAAATTATACTTAAAATATTAAAATGCTTCTCTGGGACAGAGGAATGACAGTAGGTGATTTGCATTCACACTGACATCCCCCCAACAGATTTGAGTTTATATTAATAAATTTAGTCCAAATGCAATCTCATTTCTTTATTTTGACCTTTGCTTCCAATATTTGAAGACTGTTAAAAATTACTGTGATTGAAACCTGTATTAACATTTCATGAAGTTGTGAATGGGTGTAAGGGTTAAGCACAGCTTTCTTACTGCTCCCCTCTTTCTTCCACATACTGATTTCAATACAAATGTGTGTGTGTTTATATCCTAACAACAACTCTGCTTCAATGGAGGTTTGCAAATCTCTCTCTCTCTGTGTGTGTGTGTGTGTGTGTGTGTTTGTGTGTGTGTGAGAACCAGGGCTTTATTTTTGTTCAAATTCTGCCTTGGGTTTGCATTCCAGCTCTACATTTTAAAAAAAACAGAAGGAACTATGGAAACACTTTCCATTTAGAACTGAAAACTACAAGATGCACATTATTTGGAGCAGGGAGGAATTGCAACTGTACAGGATCAAAATGGTGCAACAAATACAGTTATCACTGTCAAATGTCACAAAGTTATTTAAACGATGGCAGAAGATATAAGGTGAGTACAGTGGTGCCTCAACTTACAAATGCCCCTACTTATGAACATTTCAACTTACAAGCAGCTTGTAATCCTTTGACCTAGCAAGCACGGTCTAAACTTGTTCAGCCAGTCTCTTTGCCACAGAGTTGTGTGAACAGACAAGCTTACTCTGGATGTCCTTGCTCAAGGAGAGTGTCTTGTGTTGCTTGTTGTGAAATCATGCTCAGGTTGTCCTTACTCACGGATAGTATCTTTATTGTGAAACATTTATTTTGTCATCTGCCTGCGTGCTTGAAACCCACCAAAGACATATGAGCCTTATCTCGTAACTCTTTAAAAGTAGCTTGCTGATTGGTGAAGGGCTTAATGTCTGTAACTCGTGAACTGGTGGAAATCCCTTCTGTTCAAAGATATTATAAATCTACACCCCAGACTGTTCATTTTTAAATGTTAACAACAATAAATTAATCTTCCAGTTTCTAACGTTTTACATTTAAAAATTAGTTTCCAAACTTAACATTCCAGGTAATGTGGAATATAATAGCTCTTTCACAATAACTAAGAAGCCAGTCTAATATTCAGCGAATTTGCCATCCTTTACACCCTAACCTGATAGGAAGCCCTGTTTTAAACAGATGCAACGTACACAGCAAACACACGTACTCTTAGATATGTGCCTTTAAAAAGGTAAAAAGGGGGGGTAGTGTTCTATGGTACTGTGACCTATGGAATTCTTACTATTACTTTTAATTTCCACTAGTGTTCACATCAGAATGTTCTAATGTCTGTTTAGCAAATCAAGAGACTGCCTAACTCTCTGAGTCAGCCTTTCAGCTTATAATGTAATAGCTGAAATCCTGTTGTTTGGTGTAGTATGTTCCACTAGAGTAGGCCCATTGGCTCAAAAATGATTTGGTGAGTCAACTCCTCTGTACGTTCCGTTAATTCAAATGGGCCCACTCTAGTTGCAACTTCCTTTGGCTCGGTAAGTGACAACTAAGGTAAGCTGATTTGAAGCCATGGAATTCTTCTGCCTCTGGGGAGATGGAAAGTCCCTGAAACCTGGCCAGCTGTCAGAGGAAAGGGCCACAGTCAAGGGCCCACTGTGCAGGAACTACAGGAGAGACCCCAGCAGCTGACCAAGCCTTGATGTCCTCTCAGGCCAACTGTGCAGCAATGCTCACCCCTACCCAGTTATAACACTGGCAGTGCAAATGCCAGTGTGAGAGGCAGAGGAGACTCTGGGAGGAACAGGGTAGCCCAACCAGGTAACCCTCTACAGGTTGTACTGGCCATCCTTAAGAGGATTATGGCCAGGTTCAGGAATTATATATCTTGGTGCTGGTACTGTTGGGACCCTCAGTGATGCTAACTGGGCCCTATGTCCAAGAGACAACACTTAGGGAAATCAATCCCCCAGGAACTCCACGGAAGGATAATATTTCAGTCCCTGCTCCTACTGTTGAGTCTGTTTTAATAAAGACTCTTATTGGTCATACTCACAACTTATTCCATGGAGGAATAGGAGGAAGCTTTCAATCTCTCAATATCAAGTGGCTTAGGTAGACAGCTTTAGCCACCCACTTTGATTCAATCTCTGTGATCACACATGCTGGAATTAAATGAAATCAGAGCAATCCTTCCCACATAAAAAAATTACAGTGGTTCCTGACAGGGACTCAAAAAGATGTGGGTAGACCTGCATCAGGACAGGCTAGTGTATGATGGCATATACATTATGTTGTTACCAGAGAAAGGAACAAGCAAGTCTGTCCCCAGAGTGGACAGAAGAGTAGGACAAATCTCTGTCTAGTCACACCCACAGTGTCTCCTGACAGCATTGATTTCAGCTTCCCTGACACACTTAAACCTCTTCAACACATTAAGGTGTGCTAAGAGATCATAAGGATTGGCTACGGGAGTGCACCAAAATTTTTTAGAAGATCAGTACATGGTTTATAGACTACAGAAAAGTCTTTGACTGTGTGGATCATGAAAGGCTATGGATTGTTCTAAAACAAAAAATGCTTCAGTGCTGGACTGTCCATATGCATAACCTATATTGCTGATGAGAAGCCACTGCTAAGACAGAATATGAAAAGAAGGGGGAAAAAACAGAA